ACACACACTACACACACTTATGTGTGCGATTAGCGGGTGTTGTTTGCTACTTCTTTTTAAAAAATCAAATATCTGTTTTCTTTGTCACTCCTAATTCTTTTCTCTGTATGTTCCTCTTTCGTATTATTTTCTCTAATCCTCGGGTTAGGGACTTTATAATTATTATGATCCTATTTTGGAGCAAGCGCAGTAGCATTTTTACTCAAACTATTCCCCAGCCCCCTTCCTCTTTCAGCTTGAAAGGCTTGGTTTTGAACTTCACTTCGAAAGCCGTCTCAACATTTTTCAACTTATTCCAGTCCAACCGCCGATCTGACTAGTTAGTTTTTAAACGGTTGTCTTTGTTTGTCACAGTCTAGGTAACTAGCGCTTCATGGCAAGATAAGATGAGATAAGATAAACTTTAAGGATTCACCATGGAAAATTTGGACGGATTTGCTAGAACCTAAATATACGTGTGTGTGTGTGTGTGTGTGTATGTGTGTGTGTGTGTGTGTGTGTGCGTGTGTGTCCCTTCCACCCTCCCCCTCTCACACACAGACACGTACACACTCACAACAACAACAACAGCATCGACAACAACAGCAACAAAAACAGCAGCAACAACAACAACAACAACAACAACAACAACAACAACAACAACAACAACAACAACAGCAACAACAAAATAAAACCAACATCAATAAGTCAGGAGAAAATGTCACAAGCGACTTTGGGCGTTGTAGAGAGTAAGGTAAGAGCGGATAAGTCTTAAGTGGTTCCTATCTCCCCCAGCAGGTCTGCTGGTGTTATTTTGCCAACTCCCTCTTTATGACGGCTGTCTATTTGTTCGATTAACCGATTGTTTTCTCTAGCCATTGTAAAATAAAAGCAACAGAAATCATGTGTGGGTGGTTGGCCGGTGCTCTGGTGTGGTTTGCTCCTTCTTTCCTATCAAACATATATCGTCCTTATCTCTCCTACTTCTTTTCTGTGTATGTTGCTCTCTTGTAACACATTATCTATTCTTCGGCACTTATATGACCTTATTGTGTTGCAAGTTCCGTAAAACTCTTACTAAATCTAAAGAAATCATGTCGTTTCTTATGAGACAACTAAAAAATCCGTGGAAGGAAAAGAAATCAAATGATGTAGAACATAATATTATACTTGAAGAAGCTCACGCAGGTCGTTGGCTCGTAAAACCAATTCAGTTAGGAAGAAACAAATGAAGTTTCTGGAAAACTTGTCTAGACATTAAAGCCTTTTTCATTATGTCGATGGGGGCGTAAAAATCATGTATGTTTAGTGAGTGTACCTATTACGTCTGATGGAAAACAAAGTTCCGTAATAAATATCTCACTGGCTGTCGGAGACTCGAGTGTGCACGAGAGTTTGGGGTGTTTGCTCAATCGGCTTATAGTCCTCTGTGGAATGTGTGCCGGTCTTTTAGAGAGTTGCGCGATCTGGCATTCTTGCCTTCATCTACTTTGTCTCTCTGTCTCTGTCTCTCTCTCTGTCTCTGTCTCTGTCTCTGTCTCTGTCTCTGTCTGTCTGTCTGTCTGTCTGTCTGTCTGTCTGTCTGTCTGTCTGTCTGTCT